GCCGCCGCCTCACGCAACCTGGCTCTGTCCACCGGCGCCTGCCCCCGACTGCTCGCCCGGGGCCCCGCCGCCTCCTCGCACAACCAATCGCCGTCCACCGGCGCCTGCCCCTGACTGCTCGCCCTGGGGAGCCGCCACAGCGTCCACCACCACCACCACCACCACCACCACCTCCTCGCGCGACCAGGCCCAGGACAGCACTGTGTTGGCATCTGTCCTCTCATTGGGCGACCGGGCGGTACCCTGCTGGCATCTGCCCCTGATTGGCTGCCCAGAACAGCACTGTCTTGGCGTCTGTCCTCTCATTGGCTGACCAGGGCAGTACCATGTTGTTGGTGTCACTAGGCATCACCCTAGGTAACTCGGGGGGGGGTGAAAGACCACTAGAGTCGATAAAGCCCCCCCCGCACTAGGCCAAAGTGAACCAAAGCCCCTGCATGTTAAACTTTACTAACCTCATAGGCCAGCAGCTGGGAAGCAGGAGTAATAAGGCCTGCATGCTTCTGGCTGAGAGGCAAGATAACAGATCAAAGGGAAAAGGACAAGATAACGGTTCAAAGAAGAGTTACTAACGAGCTAGACTTATAGCCGCCAAGATGACCTAACTGCTTAAATGTAATTGCTACTGCTTAATGTAACTACTGCAGAGGGAGGAAGGGGGAGGAAGGGGTGGAGGTAGGAAAGGGAAAGAAAAGAATAAAAAGGGAAAAACTGCTTGTCTCAGTGCACTTGATTTGAGACATGCTGGTCTCCTAGTGCCTATTCAGAGCTCTTGAATAAATTTTGTCTGCTTCTCCACCCTGGTGTGTTCATTGGCGCGAAGCACACCGGGCAACGAACCCCGCTGTTGCCCCCTCGGGCCCTCTGTGCCGGCAACAATGTTGGCATCTGTCACGGATTGTTCTGTGTTAGCCTCTGCCCTCTAATTGGGCAACTGAGGTTGCACCATATTATTGTCTTCCCCTGACTGCTCACCCAGGATGACATTGGCTTCGTGTCGCTCCTCCCATTGATCAATGGACATCCCCCCTTACTGGTTGCCCAGGATGGTGGTGGTGGTACCATTATGGCGTCTGTCCCTTGACTGGCCCAGGATGCCACTGGGTTGGCATCTGTTACCTCAGTAACTAGGTGGGATATCTTGGTGTTGTGATCCATCTCCTCAAAAGGTGCCTGGAGCAGCTCAGCACTGGTGTGTCTTCCCTCGGTCAGTGTCTCTTTCTGTCTTGAGCACTTGGAACAGAGGCCGACTGACAATGGCAACTCTACATTGGCGTCTGTCCTGACTGGTCACCCAGAATGGCAGTGTGTTAGCATCTGTCCTCTTATTGGGCCACCAGGGCAGTACCACATCTATCCTCTAGTTGGTCGCCCAGGATAGCACTGTGTTTAGCCTCTGTCCTCTCATTGGGCAACAGAGATGATACCATGTTGGCATCTGCCCCTGATTGGTCACTGAAGATGGTGGTGGGCTGGCATCTCTCCCCTCGCTGGATGTAGGAGCTGCTGATGGCAGCTGGCTGGCATCCCTCTCCTTGCTGGGCACGGGCACTGACACCCAGTTGGCATCTATTTCCTCAATGGGCAGGGAAGTTATTGATAGTGCCGCTGGGCTGACATCTCTACCCTGACTGGCAGGGCCATAATGCCCTGTTGGTGTCTCCCCCCATGACTGGACACAGGAGGATGGCGGCGGTGCCGGGCAGCATCTCTTCCCTTGGCAGCGGTGGGCTTAGCACCGTCTCTTCCTTCAGTGTCTGTCCTCTGGGTCTCTCTCCCTCAGGCCAGCATCTCTCTCCCCCGGACCGGGCCGGGCCAGGCCAGCGTCTCTCTCCCTTGGGCCAGCATCTCTCTCTGCCCCGGGCCGGGCCGGCGTCTCTCTCTCTCTGCCCTGGGCCGGGCCGGCGTCTCTCTCTCTCTGCCCCGGCCCGGGCCG